GTCTTCCTCTTTTTCTCTGACCCTCCACCCTACCAAACATGATATCCTTCTCCAGTGACTGGTCCCTCCTGACAATATGTCCAATGTATGAGAGATGAAGTTTGGCCATCTGGACCTCCAAGGAACACTCTGGTTACACTTCTTCCAAAGCAGATCTACTGGTTCTTTTGGCAGCCCATGGCATTTTCAATACTCTTCTCCAACACCATAACTTAAAGGCATCAATTCTTCTATGGTCTTCCTTATTCACTGTTCAGCTTTCTCATGCATAGAAAGGTATTGAAAATACCATGGCTTGGGTCAGGCGCACCTTAGTCCTCAAGCTGACAGCTTTGCTCTTCAACATTTTAAAAAGGTCTTGTGCAGCACATTTGCCTAATGCAATACGTCGTTTGATTTCTTGACTGCTGCTTCCGTGAGTGTTGATAGTTGATCCAAGAAGAATGTAGTCCTTGACAACTTCAATCTTTTCTCCGTTGATAAGAATGTTTATTGGTCCAGTGGTGAGGATTTTTGTTTTCTTGACATGAAATGTAATCCATACCAAAGGCCGTGCTCTTTGATCTTCATCAGTAAATGTTTTAAGTCTTCTTCATTTTCAGCAAGCAGGTTGTATCATCTGCATATCGCAGGTTGTTAATGAGTCTTCCTCCAATCCTGATGCCACGTTTTCTTCATATAGGCCAGCTTCTCAGATTATTTGCTCATCATACAGGTTGAATAAGTATCGTGAAAGAATACAACCTTGTCGCACACCTTTCTTAATTTTAAAACATTCAGGGTTCCCATGTTCTGTTCAAACAACTGCTTCTTGGTCCAGGTACAGATTCCTCATGAGCACAATTAAGTGTTCCAGAAAACTCATACTTTGCAGTGTTGTCCATAGCTTGTCATGATTCACACAATCAAAAGCCTTTGCGTAGTCAATAAAGCACAGGTAAACATCTTTGAGATATTCTCTGCTTTTAGCCAAGATCCATCAGACATCAGTAATAATATCCTTTGTTCCACGG